GAGTCACCATCCCTGGAGGTATTTAGAAGACGTGTAGATGAGGCGCTTAGGGACATGGTTTAGTGGGCATGGTGGTGTTGGGTTGACAGTTGGACTTGATGACCTTAGAGGTCTTTTCCAACCTTAATGGTTCTATGATTCTATGATTCTATGATTCTATTTGGATTCTAAAATCAGTAATTAGGTCAAAGAATATTTTATATCCATAGGCAGCACCAATGGCTCTCAGATATGAAATAAAATAGCTGTATGTGGAAGTGAATTTGTTGAGAGTATAAAATGCGAATGCTCAGCACTTCCTCACATCAACTTCAGTCCAGTCCATCTCTGCCAAAACCAGTGGGATTCTGCAGTGTAAAATGAATGCAACACAGTGAGATTCAGATCCCCATTTTTTGCAGGAAATGAATTGCAAGTCCAACAAAACTTCCAGGAAGTATCAGACACGCTCAGTTCAGTCAATAGTTTTGGTATGTAAATTCAGGTCCTCTGTTATAAGACTTGATTGTACATTTAACACTGGTAGGTCCATAAAAGACTGCTGTTTATGTTGCCGGAATATACAAAGAAAGAAATATTGAGAATCACTGAACCACAGCACCATTTGTTGAAAATATCTTCAGCACCATGGGGACTGCTATTGCTGTTATAGAAAAGCAGAAGACTCCCAGCCCAGTCATGTTCACTTGAGCAATGGAAATATCAAACACCTTATGCTGCTAGACAGAGTGCACACTATTGCTTTCATTTTGTATGATGCTGCCACCAGAAATGTTTCTTACTTGAGTCAGTGTGGAGAGCACACAGTTATAGCAACAGATGGATGCTCATCAAAAGACATGGCTGAAGATATAACAGATTCATTTTTTAGTCTTTGATCATCTAAAATATTCCTGCATTTAGTAATATTCCATGTATAATAATCAGTGAACGCAAAGTAAACAAACAGCTCAATTTGAATTACAGGTATGTATTTTAAAAGACATTAAATGTTCTTTTTGTAACTTTCTGGAAGAGACTCTGTGGCAGTCATGCAATGTATTAAAATTATATTTTCATAATAATACATGGAGAAATTGCAAGAATCATTAAGGATAAAATAGTCCCGTGTTGTATATTTTCCTGAAACTGAGGCGTATGATAGATTTTTTGTTAATTTGCAGTGGTATTATGGTAATTATTAACTGTCATATTTCATTTCTTCTCATGAACATCCAGCACCATTTTTAAGGGGCCACAGAACATAACATGTTCTCTGTGCCTGATGGCACTCATCATTGTAATAACTAAATACCCTTAGCCGACTGAAGTTTTGCTGTAAATTCAAATCAGAATGTGAATGTTACTGGAAAACATGCAGTTACATTTGGAGAGTTTATTTGCTAATTGTGCAAATCACTGTCAAAATTATAGGAGTATGACAACCCATGCGAATTTATCTAATTGTTCTGTGCTGCTCTATGTATAAATTGTACAGGGAATGAATTTTGCATTTGTTCGTAGGCACAGAAGAAGCGGAAATCCAATGAATCTGTAGATACAGAGCTCTGTCTTAATGAGGTAAGAGTGTGGGTCCTGTACATTTCACAGCACAGGTGTCTCCCCATAATATAAAACATTCAAAGTCTGGCAAGATTATAATGGGCTTACCTCACATTAAAGTCTTGTTAGCATTGTTATGTTTGGATACCATCATGTATTAAAAAATGATCTTACTCAGAAATCTGGAGCTGGGCTCAAAATGGCCTCTGCTAACTTTATATTTTAATAGCTGTGTAGTACATGTTTAGGCAGATCCCATGGCAATTACTGTTGCACCTAGCAAGTATAATTAGTTAATAATCTGCAGGAAACACAAGATGATATGGCTTTTAACAAATACAGAGACATCATTCTGTGGCTAAAAAAAATGACCAATTTAGGGCATGAGATGGTGTTCACATCAGGAGATGTGATGCTCCTACGTCAGGAGACAGATTGACAGCCCCAAGAGACATGAACCTCCCAGTGCTGTTTGAGTAGTCTGCTCAGCCTGACCTCCAAGGCCCCCTTTCAGACGTAAACATTACATCAGTTTCCATGTCTGTCAGTCCATATCCTTTGTACTGAGTCTCTCAGGAAGCTTAATAATTAGTGATGTACATAAATTAATTTTTACAATGTGGAAGCACATAGCCTAGGCATTGGAGCAAGACCAGCTATATAGGCATAAGCCACCAAAAGGGTGTGACCATATCTTTCAGGTTCGCCTTCACCAGTCCAGATTTGCCCAGTTCTTCTAAACAATGACAGTTCTATAGCCCATTCCTAGTTCTTTAGGTTCTATTAAGAATTTCCTGCAGATACTAGAATGAAGCCTAATAACATGTGAGGGAACAATGCAGTGATATTAACAGATCTGTTGACATCTTGTGCTGGCTAAAAGACCTTACACAAGAAGGCCCTGATAACTGTAGCTTACCATAAGAACTGCTGGTCCATCTTATCCCATACTCTGCCTGTGACAGTTTCCAAAAAACAGATGCCCAGGGCTGCGTATATGAAGGAATGTTGTGATAATTCCCCCAATGCCTCTACTACCTCAACAGTTTACATCTCAAGGCCTTCCAGTTAGCCAGTCCTAGCAGGTGATAGCAAAGTGAGGGAATGGCATGGGGATTTATCCATGAATACAGCCAGCCTCCCTGGCTCTGTAGACAGCCATTCCTGTGGAAAGTGATGCTCCTTCTTTGTATCTGCTCTTCTGGGTACTTCTAGCTCGTACCTTGGCCCATTGCCTCTCCAGGACATGGGGAGGCTTGTCGCCTCCGTAGGGTCTGAGCAACTTTGCGTGGAGTAGTTGGACTTAATGACCTTAGAGGTCCCTTCTAATCTAAATTGTTCTGATTCTGTGATTATACCTGGTTGTTTTTTGTTTTTTTTTTTTTAATGAGGATGATAAGCAATGAGAAATACTCCTGTTGCACCTCCTCCTTAAATAGCTCTCTATAATCTGCCAATCTGTACTTGCATATGCATACTGTTTAATTATTGGTAGCAAAGATGACAAGGAATGTAAATAATGCAGAAATTAAGGGAAAAAAGGCATGAGAAAGATAACTTTTCATAAGCTATAAACCTCTGTCTTTTCTGATCCCATAGATTAGATTTTATCTATTGTTATTCAGAAGTAACTTGTTATCAAAAAAAGTTGTTCTGTTGACTGTGCGAAAGTTGCAGTTTCTCTGCGGGTCCTGGATTTGCTTTGTAAAATAAACTGGCATTGATAAACTAAAGATCGCTAAAAAAATTGCCGTACTTAACAAGGGTAGGTTTACACATGGAACCCCTTCTAGAGTAGGGATTTTTTAATACTTTCTTCTTTTTTTGAATTGTGCTGTGCTGATGGTTTTATCTTTTAAACTAACTTTAAAATACTGTCATTTTAACATCTGTTTTTATACCTTTTGTATCTTTCGATCTGTGACAGTGACATATAGGTAACAGTGGAGGGTGGGACACGAACAAACAAAAGATGAATTTCATGATGTAAATTTCAATATTTTTGCAATGAAAATGTGTAATGGTGACCAAGGAAAGTATTGTGTCTTGCAGAATGCTATTGGGAAAGACAGCACAGCAGGAGTCTCCACCAGTCACATATCTTCAGAGAATTCGCTCGCTCTTCCTGGAAGCTTCTATCTAAGCACACCGCTCACTCTGATGACACTTGCACTCTCACTCTGTTTGTTCCTAAGCTCATCAGTCGTCTTGTAGCTGCATTACAAAAGGACATGTAAAAAAAAAAAAAAAAAAAATCTGTTTCCTGTCCTCTGTTGTTTATCTGGAATTCCAGGTCTGGGAGCTAAGCTGAGGCACTCCTGCTAGAACAGTTTCAGTCAGCTGGAATTTTTTTTTTTTTTCCCCTCTAAAAAAGCTTCTTGTGATATTTAGAGGCTTTGTGAAATACTTGGTGCAGTGCTACATTCCAAACCCAAAAGGCTTTTGGGCATGCAGTGTTTTAAAGAGACAGAGTGTAAATTTGCCTGTAAAGCGACCTGGTTGGATTATTTTAATAATTATTATTTTGATTCTGGCTTTTACCTGAGAAGGAGGATTGCAGTTTTCTTAAGATCCTATTTATCTCATTGAATGGTTTTGGTTTTCAAATTGATTGAACTTCAGACTGTCAAGGATGCCAGGCTTTTGTCTAATGGTGAATGTTCTTCTCCCAGAGAGTGGACTTTATGAAACTTCTTTGTTTGATAAATTGCTACTGATGTTAAACTCTTTCAGTGTATTAGCATTTTCTCTTTAAATGTTTACGTACTGTAAGTGATTCTGCGTTCCCTGCTGAGAAGCCATTAATTCACATACAGGTGTAATGTACATCTTTCGGTTAAATTCTCATAAAAATAGAGTGTGGCATAGAACTTTCTAACAGTACATTTATCTTTTAATTATAATCATCTAGCCTTAACAAGGGTGAAGATTCTTTAAATTAACAAGAAGCAGCCATTGTGAAAGCTTGATAAATTTGAGGATAAGCAGTAGAAACAAATTTTGCTACAGGGTTTCAGCTGTACAGTCTATGGTCTTCTACGCTTCCATTGTGATAATATAGTCCAGTTATTATACTGTTCGTTTAATAAAAATTACATACAATTTATTTGCTCTGCTAAAACAGCATTATCTGTTTATACATAGCTGATAATGTCAGCTCAAAAAAGTTACAGGAACTTCATGCCTTACTTCTCTTATCGCAACAGTGTAGAAGGGAAATAAACTGTGTTTTATTTCTTAGATTGCTAAAATCAGCACAAAAGGTTGGTTGATCCAATTACAAGGCAGCGGCATGCACACTCTCCCATGCGACAGGCTTTTCTCACCCTGGTGGTTCCTATTGCAGACCTTGGCATTGCTGACATGATGAACTGTTTGCAAGACCAGTTCCATAAATTGTTTTAACGGTTTGGATGGCAATATTGCTCGTATACATGATTTGATCGCTTTGGTTTTCATTCAGTGACATTGACAGCCTGTGCTGGCTCATGATGATTTTCTGTGGTATCTAGAAGGAATTCTTTAAAGCTTTAAATGTCGTCAAATAGGCAGCATTTCTCCTAAGGGCTGTCTTTATACCTTGCTGTGATGGCTTGTTGACTGTTACAAGCAGTTATGTCTCAATGATCAACAGTAATCAGTTTTTGTTTCTGTTGAAAGTAGAAGATAACTTCACCAAGCAAGGAGTTCATCATGTTGAATTTACAGATTTACATTGAGACTTACACAATTATGCCCAGGCCTGCTCTGAAATGTCCAGATCTGTTATTTGCAATACAACTATGAAGTACAAATTACTGTTTTACAAACTTCAGTGAAGTTTGGGAGTGTGCAAAATACACATCTTACTAAGAGATTATTAAACCTATTGATAAGTTCATCTTTTGAGCTTTTTCTCAGCTAACAATAAACACTTTCATAAATTCTGAAATTTACTTATGTACTCTTCATTATGGTCAAATAATATAGGTTTCAAAGCACCGTGTATGTGATAGAATTCTGGGATACTCTGTGCCACTGAACATAACAAATTAGACAGTATTACTCTTTAATTCTGTACTGATAAGAAACTGCAAATTACTTTCAAAGGCATCAGAGCTGCTTTTGGAGAAGAAATATATAGCACATCATTACCAGCAAAGCCCATGTGGTTCCTGTTGCTCTTCTTGTAGAAGCTAATCAAATTATTGAAAACTAGTGACAACAGAAAAAAGATTACGAGATTCATGATTTAAAAAATAAATCAAATTATTTTATGTCAAAAGGAGTTGATAATATAACCTATTGAAATGCTAATGAACATAGCATTATAATTCAAAAGTCTGACATAATCCAATTAAAAATATTTTCAAAACAAATTTATAAACATTACTATTATTAAATCCATCTTTGATCCACAAAGCTTTCTTTAAAATATCATTTGTATTCAGCACATTAAACATTTTAAGCAGTATCGGGAATTTTAATAACCTCCCAGTATAGTACATACTTTTTGAAGATTTTTTACATTTTGTTTGATTACATTATCTCTATTACATTTAATACCAATTATTAGAGCTTTGACACTGTGTGATCCAGAATAAAAACTATTGATCACTTATACTGTAAACAACAACCTAATTAGGTTCTGATTACAAAAGAAATTGCTGATTTGATGAGAGTTACCTTTGGAAATACACTTATGTATGTAGTAGAGGAAGAAATGGCGTTTCATATGGCTAGCCATGTTACCACAAACAAAACAGAGCACTCAAGCTTTTTTCCGGGTGTAAATTAAAAGCATACTGAATTCTTAATTAAAAAAATAAATTGCTTATTAAACAGGCAAGAGAGAAAAAAACCCTAAGAGTCTGACACTTAATGAGATTTTTACAGGCATCACCACGCAAATATTGGAGGATTTTTAGAAGTTGGATGTGGTGTGGATGATGTCAATTTAGCATGGTGACCTTGTCAATGCAGTCATTTGCTACAGTACTGGAGTATGCAAATTGCTTAAATTTTTTCCCCTTTCAGTCACTAAAATGCCATGTGTGGAGTGCTCAATGAACAAGCTTAGGCTGGGCTTTATATATTCCTTTAATACATTAATTTTATCAATATAACAATAACATAGGAGCTATCTCAATACAGAATGTACATACAGATGATCTACTGTTTAAATTGTAAATTTAACCAGTTCAGTTGTGTGTAAATTAAATCATGGGCTACCGTAAACACATACAAATCATCTTTTTCATTTAACATAATGGAACAGGCATTATCATTAGTATTATTAGGAGTGTGTATACTCTGCCATGTCAAATAACCTGATTATTGCGTTTATGTTTCTTCTTAAAAGTAGTACACACAAAGATAAAATTCAGACTGAACTGAAATATATGGCTAAGGTTTTGCACTATTTAATATTAATTCCACAAGCTAGTCCAATGAAAGAGGCACTGAAGATGAACCTTTCAGTTATTAGTAGAAATAATAGCAATTGAGGCTTTCCCCTGCCCCAGTGCAGGCGGTGACATCCACCAACGGCAGCAGTCCTCCAGGAGTGTCGGTGCAGTGACTGGGTCAGTAACGAGGAGCGCAGCCTCGTTTCATTGACTCACGGCTGCTTCAAGAGAATGTGCAGGGAGGTATGGAGCACTGAGCAGGAGCCGTCCATCTGTCTTCACTGGGGCACTGGCTACTTTCCATTGAACAGCTTCATTCCCACTGTGTCATTAGGAAGAATTAGGAGGAACAGGGATTCTTAATCATTTCAAAGCATTGCATGGACAGACTCTGTCTGGAGACCTATTCCCAGCCTTTTTTTTTTAATGGAATTATGTCCCTCTAAGACCCAACCTTTTGAATATGAGGCTGTTCACAATTTGAGGGATGTTGCAGTTTGAATCAGTAGACTGAAAACATGAAAATATACAGCTTTGCTAAGCCTGAGCAATTAGTCTGGAGATGAAGAAAACAGAGGAGGAATCACCTTGAAATCTCAACCTAATCTTAATTTGTGATTGTTGGCTTAATCATGACAATATTTCCATGGAGGGGAGGTGGTGAGAAACAACTGAAGGAGAAGAGCAAAACTCAGAACAGCTCCCTGAAGGGACATACATTTTGTGTATGTCAAGTGACAGGAGTATCTCATAGTTAGCGCTGGGACACATTGAAATAAAAGAGCTGGATTCTGCTAGGAACAGCAGCTCCTTCAGAGCAAGCAGTAAAAGATGGAAGAATGAGAATTTATTTGTACAGCAATTATAACTTTCTTTTATCAAATGCAATTGTTTGTCTTCAACACCAAGGTGGATCTACCTCACTGAAAAATATACGTTCACTGACAGGATTTCTGCATTCAAACTATTCTGGGCTAAAGAGGCCTCCAAGGTTGTTTTATGCCCATAAGGTTAGTCAGATTCTACCCGATGTCCCTGACATCAAATAGAAATATATTTGCTTCTGATGAACTTGGCAGAGAAATTAATCCAGTGACTTGTTAAATATTTCTCATCTTTAAATATTTGCTTTTTCTTACCAGCTCAGTTCCCCCTATGACATTTCAATTATTGGCTATTTCAGCTTCTCCTTTAACGTCAGAAGGTCATTTTCTCCATACTCTACAGTAATCCACTTTATAGATTTGCCTCAGTGTAGGGTTTTTTTTTTTTTAATTACAGCCTTCACTTCTGAGGAAAAAAATGTGATCAGGAATATGTCTCTACTGAATGACCAACACCTTTAAAGGGGGAGGAAATTGCAAGTTCCTATTTTATCTGTTTAGCGCTGGTTTGACTAGAACAAGCTAAAACATGATGCTGCTATTCCCCAGATGGAATTTAAAATTTGGTACTGAATAAGGATTAAAAAGTTTTAAACTCTCACAATCTTTTAGAAATATTTAAATACTTCTAATGTATTTTCCAGTTGGAATTTCAGTCAAAGAGATAAAGTCTCACTAAGTAGTATTTTTTTCAAGAGTAAGAAGTTTCATTGGGAAATTTTGATGGGTCCATTTTTAAGGTAAAATCAGGGAGGGTGATGAATTCCCATTTTTAACTCGATATAATCTTGACTTTCATACACCATTGTTCCATGTTCTCTTCATCTGAGTATGTTTGCCTTCAGGGGACGGTTATGCTTAATAGATACATATTAGATATGGTCAACTCAATAATCAGAAGCCAAGTCCTGCAATTCCTACTTAGATGCTCCATCTGTCACTCATAAAAGCCAGAGCAACAAATTCAAGATGTGGCCTAAAGATTATCTGAAGTTTAAAAGAGTACAGAGTCTACCAATTTCTCAGTAGCATTTCTTATCAATATAGATTGTGGTATTATAAATTGGTACCATCTAGACTACTCACTAAAGTTCTCTGAGCGCATTTAACCAGAGCAGCTGCAGTTTCTGCTGTTCTACCTTTGCCAGGTGCCAATAGCTGAACTTTGTCATGCATATGTTTAGAGCTAATTGCTGCCTAGATTACAGCAGCCAACCTGATCCCTCTTCAGCAAGGGTTCCCTTAGCCCATTTTCCCCTGCTTTTAGTGATTCCAACACACTTTAATTCTTTTGCACTACTTTTTAATCTGTCAAAAGGAGAATTTCCTAGAATCTAGAAAAAAATGAGTCATAAATTTAAGGGCAATTTTCTTCAAATTCCTCCTGCCAAAATACCACAATAATTGACCTCTTATGGACTTCTACCTTCCAAAGCATTGAATACCCCCTGCCCAGCACCTTCAGTCCTTATGAAACTGAGCAGGAGTTTTGGGGATTCAGCTTCCAGTAAATGAGGCCATGTTTGTTTTCAGGCTTCTTCAAGCCACTCATTCTACGAATTGATGTTATGGATAAACGTAAGTAATTAGAGAGGGTGTCGTGGCATTATGCTACTCTCCATGTTGGCCAGCTCATGTCTAACAGTTTTCCAGCATTGGTACCAATGATGCCAAGTTCCTCATGGCTCCTTCAGCTGGACATTGCTTTCACAGTAGGAGATGACGTTCAAAGAAGTCCTGCTGTTGTAAGTGCAAAAATGTTATGCCTTTTATTGTTTTATTCTTGTCTGAAATATAGCCCTCATACCACCCTTTTCTGAGTTCATCCTCCTGATCTACTTGGAAG